TTTTCTCCCAAATCCTTACATCAATAAATAACCACATACAACCTGGAAGAACATTTCCATTCCATAAATAATTGCAGCATAGAAGGGTGGTTTGATTATCTTTGTCATCCATATCATTCTCAATTTGTCCAGCTAATTAGTAACACTGGACTACCAAAGACTGTGACAATAAAGACGACAGATTCATGCAAAGTTAAAAAATGAAAGGATGTAAACAATTATTAAGTGATTCCAAGTCCATAAAAGAACTAACCAGGTCAGTTTAATTGGTGTGGGCTTTTTCATCGGAAAACAAAACACTTACAGATAAGTTTAGGGGTATTTATTAATGTTTCCAGAAATATATTAGTGTTGTTAGTAAAAAGAAAAAAAAGTTATTAAAAACTACATATACATCAAAAGACCCTGTATATTCATCAACTAAAAAGCCAGATTATTGTTTATCTGCATATGCACATTAATAATGATGTCTTAAAATAAAAAATTTTTAAATTTTTATGGTGAAAAATGCCAGTTTTGCTTAAAGTGATTTCCAGTTCAATCCACTTTCACTAAACCATTAATATTATTAGTATTTACATCAAATCAAAGTCATTATTATCATCAGATAAGCACCTGATAATGAGAGAAAGCAAAATTTATTTAATTAGAACTATTTGTGAAATTTTAAACATTTTTAGGGATGTAAGAAATTAGGAGTTTTACAACAACTGGAGACACTAATGTGGTATAGGACAACACTATATATTTGTATCTAGTGTTAATTAGGGTGTTAATGTTTTTTGAAATTTCTGTAGAAATGAAACCATCCTAACATTTCTACTATATGCAAATCCCAAACTCTGCCCTTACAAAAGAAATAACGTAATAAAAAATCTGGTTTATTGGACTTTATGGTGAGAAAGTGCATCAGATTGTGACAGAAGAAACAGAAGATGGAAAATATTTCTGCTATTGGAGGAACCAACCCATGACATTTCACACACTGAACAGATTACCTTGATACTAAGATATCTTATTCATAATATGGATGAATACAAAATCCAAGAACACTTTTACACTATTATCAACATCTTTGGCAAGAATGGTTCAGACATAGTTGAGATGGGTTTGATCTTTCTGAAAGACACAAAATTTTATTTGATAATTGTTGTGGCCAGGATTATGGTAATACATATAACATATCTGGCAGATATAATGGTATCCAAGCTCTTCTCAGAAGCAAAAACCCCTCTGCCTTTTTTTTAACTTGCAGCAACCATTCACTGAATTAATATGGTACAGATGCAACTGAATCCTGCATTCTAGCAGTTACTTTCTTTGAAACAGTCCACACAGTTCACAATTTATTTTCTTCCAATGTAAAATGGTGGGACATTTTACAGAATTACATTGAAGAATCCCTTCATTGTCATCTAAAACCAGGTAGACCTCTCACAACAAAAGAGTTTGCCATTTTGCCAACCATCTGACTGGGATTGTATAATCTTTGAAAAACTAAAGGATCTCAATCTGACTGCTAAGGCAAAATCAGAGACTATTTACATTAAAAATAAATTATGTAAGTTATGTCATTGTGCTTACTCACAAACTGAGATGCGTTTTTAAGCGTACAATACTTTTTCAATTTTAAGAACTGAATACCTATAATGAAAACTTTGTCTTTCAGACATTCACCCTTAATTATGTGAGAAACAACTTCACCTGGAAAAACTAGGTCAAACAGACTGTTCAATGGAGTAATGATAAAATAAATGAGTAAAAACCCTATAACCTGAGCACTTTCGAAAAGGCAGACCTTTCTTCTTCAGAGACAAATCAGTGTTAAAATAAATAATCATGTGTTATTGTTTTGTACACTCAAAATCTGACTTGTAAATGACTTAAATAAAATTAACAGGAAATACAATTCACTTGCTTAATCTGGTTCACACCATAACAGTCACTGTTAATGAAAATTGATGATATATATACTTATACTGCCACTATATTTGTCAAGATTATTAATTTTTATCATAACTATTTTATTTTAATATCATTCACAAGAACTGGCAAACCAGCAATCTTGTCTCCTTGTTCCCAGAGTGGGTGAAGTAACCAAACCTGTATCTACCATATCCAGTTTTAATGAGGCCTTTCATCCAATATCATGGCTCATCAGACCAGCAGGATACAACAAAAATAATAATAGTCTAGGTGCTATGTACACAATCCTACCAAAAGTCTTGGGACACACCAATGACTGCAGGAAAATTAGTATGACGATGAAATATGCAAATAGTTTGGCCTATAAAGGTGATCAGAGGGTCATTCGGAAGTCATTTCAACCTGTATGGCAAACAATGAGTACAAGGAAAGAATTAACAGAGTTTCAGAGGGGAAGGAGAGTTGGATGTTATTTGGGGAAAATGTCTGTATGTGCTATTGTGCAACTGCCAACAGGAAGAAATGGAAGTACACAGGTGACAATGAGCACAAGAAATGACTAGATAGGCTTAAAATACTGACTGAAAGGAGCAGATGTGCCTTGAGGAGGCTGGTTACTTCGTCTAACCATCAGACCATAAAGAATCTGTGTTTGGAGATGTGAGCTGCATGCCATGAAATGATAACAAAAACAAATGCACACCATTAATTGACAGGAGGCAAGGCACACCAAACCTGGACCATGGATCAATGGAAGTTGGTCCTTTGGAGTCACGCTACACACTCTTCTAGTGTGACGGATATTTTTGGGTATGGAGGATGCCCTGGAGAATGCTTATTACCTGAGTGTGTTGTCCCAACAGCGAAGTTTGGAGGTGGTGGTATCATGGTTTTGGGGTGCTTCTCGTGGTAGAGACTAGGTCTACTGGTCGCAGTGCATGGATCCATGAATGTTGAGTCCTACATTGATGTTCTGAACAACTCTGTGTGTCATACATTGTGGCAATTTTATGGTACCAGCCCTTACATCTTCCAACATGATAATACTCAATGTCATAAAGCAGAGATTGTGAATGTGTGGTTTGAACAGAATAACATTGGAACATTGAAGTGGCAAGCACAGAGCCCCCCCAACTTTAACCCAATAGAGCATCTTTGGGATGGACTAGAACACAGAATTAGAGCAAGGCTGAGATGGCCCTCTTCAGTAGTGGAGCTTACTAATGCTTTAACTCTTTCTACCCAGGCTCGGTCCCTGGGACCGACTTCGTAACCATTTTGTGCTTGTTATAGTTTTCATGCTATAAACTTTAAATCAGTAAGCAAATGTTTACGAAATTTGGCAGTTTATCAATTTCTAAAGCAATGTTTCTCTCATGCCTTTTTTTTTCTTTTCACATCTTGCCTATCTATCATGCAAATTAATTTTCATTTTAAGATTAAAAATACTTTTATGCATAAGAAAATTTTGAAATTTCACATGCGAAATCTTTATAATGTTCAGATAGTCATCGAACATTTCTTATGAAAAAACTTTATATTTTATCTGTTATTTTCAGTAATTAATCTCTGTATGGGTTCGGTAAATCTGACCGATCTCGCAACCACCATAAACAATTAGGGCTGCTTCTAAAACAAAAATGTCTTCCTTGCCTTTTTGATGAGCATTTTCAATAAAGGATATGGAAAACTTGTATAAATATTTCTGATTTCTTCATCAAAGTCATTTGATGACATGTTCTTTAAACTCTTGAAATCACTGAAGCTATAACTGATGTTTTATCTGTTTTATGGTGTCACGAGAAAAGGTGAATATAGCTTAAAGGCTTTGTTGATTTTTTACAGATAGAAATAAAGGACCTATTTCTGCTCTAGTTATGACAATGTGTAAAAATGGGGCAACTTATTGGTTTCCTATTCATATTTGTTAAACTTAATAATACAGAGATGAAAGTGTCCCTTTCCTAAAAATCCTGAAAATAATCAAAGCCAAGTAAGGGGGGTCCGGCACCCAAAATCCTGCATTTTGAT